CCCCCCCAGTGGGTTTTACGGTTGAGGAGGGACTTGAACCCTGTTCCCCAGAGTCACATCAGGCAGAGCCTGATGGAGAAGCCAGTGGAGCTTCAAAACCTTGCAACATGGCTCTGTAGTTGTCTTCAAAAGTGAGCCTAGACAGCCATGTGTTGTGGATTGCTGCTCATTTGGATTTGGCCCCATAAAAGCATCCCCTGCTGGGTTTTCATATGAAGAGATGTGAACCAAGAGGAATATTGTGGCAACATGAAGAAGAGGGACCAAACTGGGAACCTCTCAAGAGGCAGCAGGGCGTTGGCAACCCTCCCTTGAGGTGGACACAGGCGCTGCCTTAACAGCAACTGAGGCAGGAAAGGTGAGGAGGCCCTTACCTGGCTAATGCTGCAGGTGGTAGTGGCGGTCGCTGCTGCTGCTGCTGCTGCTGCTGCTTTGGTTCTCCCCTCTGGAGTCAGACTCTTCCAGCCGCCCTGCTATCTAGTCACCACTCCAGCTGGCCTGGCCCAACTCTGGAGAGGGGGGGTTGTTTTGTTCCCTCCTGAGGAGAAGGCGTGTCGCCCAGCAGCCAGCCCAAAGAGACTGGCCCCGCCAGGGAGGGCTGGGCTCCTTTTGGCTTCACAACCCCCACAAGTAACAACACAAAAGGGCTGATGTCATGTTTCCTGAGAAAGCCAGCCAGCCAGCCAGCCAGGCAAAATAAAAAAAAATTAAAAAAGGGGGGGTTGCCTAGGAGGGAGCTTCTTTATAACCCCTACAAAGCTATAACCTCTAAGAAGCTGCTCTGGACAACTACAGAGCCAAGAGTTGGGAAAGTGATGATGGGTCTTAGAGTCTCCCTTTGGCAGGGTGACCAGACACATCCTCCTTTCCCAAGGCATGCCCTCCATTTCAGCCTTTCTGTCCAGGAGGAGTTCCAAAATGTTCTCCATTTTGAGCAGGGCTAAGAAACATGGCTGCTTTACTTTACATTCCTGTGAGGGTTTTGAGCCTTTCTGTGGTCATGTCCTACCTTTTTCTGGAATCTCCTACGTTTTGCT